TATTAGACAAATCTTCTCGACTTTATTTTGTGAGAAGAAACCGGATTTAACAATGTACAGAAATTAGATTATGGTATATTGGCTCATATACCATAATGGCTGAGCCAATAAAAAGTCTTGAATTGCATTATCCAATGATCCAGTTTTTAGTAATTGCTATTATTAAAAACTGGATCATTGGATAATGCAATTCAAGACTTTTTATTGGCTCAGCCATTATGGTATATGAGCCAATATACCATAATCTAATTTCTGTACATTGTTAAATCCGGTTTCTTCTCTCAAAATAAAGTCGAGAAGATTTGTCTAATATCTTGGGGGCGTTTTTTTAATAAAACAATTATTCCACTCTCGCTTGTTGGATATGAGATGATTATAGCCAACTCGGCGCTACGCGCCTCGTTGGCTATCTATCATCTCTTATCCAACGCGCGCCTGTGGAATAATTGTTAATTATTGCCTATTATTAGCAATTATTGCTCCTACAAGAGCAAGAACTTGGTCTTGTGGGCTTTCATTGTGAGCGTTTGGTGATCCATACATTAGTGGAGACACTCTCTGCAACTATCTTTGCAAAGAAAATACAAATCTTTTCACCCTTACTTAATTTCATTCATACAGGTATGGATGAGAACCAGCAGCAAAGCAAAGTAAACAAAAGTGCCAATGAGGTGGTAAGCTTCATTGTAAACATTTCCTTTGCAAATTATGCACTAGTTGTGAAAAGGTATAGGTGGTGATTAATTGCTTTCCTTGGTGTAAGCATAATTTTCCTTTGGTTTTGTTAATGATATGAATGAAAATGCATTTTGTAAAATAAAGTAAAATGTTGTTTTCTCGCCCGGTCTTGATATGAATGAATATGAATGAAAATGCATTTTGTGCAAAGAAAGATAAAATTTAGCTCCTAGAGTGTAAGTTATAATGAGATGATGTGTCACCACAATTTGGCTTCTATTAAAAGTAAAATGTTGTTTTCTCACGCAGTCTTGTTTGTTACGTGCATGGACCAACTATGTTATTGTGTAGTTTCCAAGATGGCAGTGGTTTTATCAAGCGATCCTTCAAAGCTCTTCGGTGTTCCTTCAGTCTGCTAAGTCTCCATTCAAAGGGTTATTTAAATGCATGAAGATTTCATTTTCAAAACAATTTACAAAAGATGGTAAATTACTTCTCCAGTAAATCGAAGTGCTCGTATATGCTTAAATCATGAATCGTGGTGATGTAAACAAGTGCTACTAAACTTCACAGCACATGGTTACATTTTGCTCTGCAGTTTTTTTTCATTCACTGTGTTTTCAACACATTCTCAGAAATAAGAGATCAGCCATTTGGGAAATTTCTATTGGTCTGAATTTTTCTTTACTAGAAATTATGAAAAATTTGATTTTCAACCTTGAAAATGGGGTCGACTTATACACGGATAAATACGGTAATTAACTCCTCCACCATCAGTAATTGCATTAAAGATTCTGTGTTAGAAATCACAGCACCATAACCCAAAATCTAATGTTGTCCTCAGCACGATTTCATTTTTTGAGCAAGGCAAAGGTAAAAATCAATCAAGGGCCACACAGACATCACATATGTCAGATATGTAAAAACTACTCTATTCATTAATTCAATGTCATTACTCTCCCCCATAGTAGCTATAATTTTTAGCCAACTTGGGAAATAGCAACCAAAAATGGACCCTTTGGACATCCAAACTTTTAAATTTCAAGGGGAAGGTTCCCCAGACTTTGCCATCCAAGTGAGAATAAATGGCTGCCACACTGTCATTTTGGTCCCCCCTACCTGCTCACACATTGTCCCTCCTTTCCACAATCCTACCAAAGCCTCCATATGGGTAGTAATAAAAACACTGAAGTGAAGAGTGCTATCTCAGCAAGAGATGATAATCATGCGCACTTTTAAGTGAGTCCTAGCAGATGTTTGGCAAGGTATTGCACTCTTGCTCCAAATCTAGTTCACATAGACTTGAGAAAAAAGAATCGGATGTAGCAGTCATTCAGGTTGGTCAATTGCTCCAAGCTCTAATTTGATAGCACTGCTCATTTGGTTATCTTTCTTGCCAATACTCTTTCCGGTTATTTGGGTTTTCTTGGAAACTCTTGCCATTGAGGAGAAGCATGATATGCGTTTACAAATTAAAAGCAAAGAAAAGTGAAAAAAAAAATAGGAGAGTAACTGGATGGTATCAAAGACAGTGGTATAATTTTTTTGCAGGGAGGTAGGTTTCCATTTTTTAATTGAGTTTTAGCCTAAGTATGTCTAAGTTTCTACACTTGTTGTTTAGTCTTGTGATTTCTTACTTTAAGAAGTTGTTTGAATTTGTTTTTTTATTACAGCCAATTGAGTCTGTAAATGGAAAGCAAACACACAATAATGATGGTAAGGAACAAATTGCTTGCACTTTAAATTATTGAAAGTAATCTGCCCTCTCCATATTTGTGATTTTTAATTTGACATGCTTTGCACGGGTGTTGTGTAATTAATGTGAATAGTGAATAAGACTGTGCAGCCAATTAGCTGGTGCTGCAGCATTCCATGTCCAATTAATTCAATAGAAGACCCTTTGGTCATTTCACGCCTTATTGGGTCCTGACATGTCCTTGAAAGAAAAGTTGCTTGAGGTATATTTTTATCGTAAACATTTATGAAGCTTTCTTCTGATTTATAGGTTGCTAGGAGTTTAGTGAAACTACTGTAGTGTACAAACAAATTTTTCCCGAAGGACACCTGCGAAAGTGGGAAGTAACCTTATGCTTGTCGCATGCGATTAAGTCATCTCATATAAATCGGCCCTAAAAACGAAAAATTTACATTACTTTTAGATATTGAAGTGAATACTTTGATACACAGTGGCTTTAGCCTCTGCATATCCTCTTATGTTTTTCTCTGAATACCTGGGAGCTGAGCAAACTGGTAACCACCCATATTCTCTCGTTCTCTTTAAAATAGGATTGTTGATCAATTTTTGCTGAGTTGACTACCATGGCTCAAGATGGAGGACCACGTGGTGAGATAAACTAATTTCTTCTCTGCCATCCTGAGAGGGTTTCTCATGCTTTCAGTATAGAACAGAATTTTGGCTAACCTACAATTCAACAGGAAATTGTCTCTTTTAAATTGAATGTTTTAAGGGAGTTCTTAAAATTGCTTTGAGGTTTAAAACCAGTGAATAAGGCTGTTATGAATTACACATAACTTCAGATGAGGGTGTCTGGCAGAGTGAAGTACTGGTGCATTTCATCCCTGAGAAGCAATCAAACTACTGTTTTCTCACATAAAACATTACTTGAAAATTAATAATCAGTAACTTAGATGTCAGGCATATCAAAGAATATTGGCACGGAAAGAGGTACTCTCCCTAGTGGTTCTTGTGCACATTCTAGGGTGAACGTTATTGTATCTCTAGTATGAACATTGGTGGTGATATTTTTGACAAAGGCTATCACTGGACGGCCATGTTTACGGATTTTGAAGGAAGGATTAAACCACCGAGGCTCAGGGCTAAACAGCTTTGTAAAATGTCGTATATGGATAATACTAAGTGATACTTTTCTTATGTTTTGAAGAGCATTTGATTAACATGGACTGGCTGGAACAAGAAATAGTTGTGGAAGAGCAGCTAGAAAGAGGAAGAGAAGAACAAAGAAAAAGGGAGGAGAAAACGAAAAGAGAGAAACAAAGAAGGGGAGAAGATCATTTTTCCGACACATACCTATACTTAAGTTATCCCTTTTAAAATTTTAAACCTATATGATATCCATGTCACTCAGTAATTTCTCTTTTTTTCGAATATGTGAAATCATGATCTTTTGGAAAACTACTCTATCAGGGATATAAATTTAATGTATATTGTTTCTTTTTTTATTTTTAAGTGAGCTTGATGATCTTGTTTATAATAGAACAGCCACATTAGTACGTCAATGTCATCGGAAGACATTAAATATTTGGAAGAGAAATTTAAAACTTGTCCTTTGCTTACATAGACCTTTCTTTTGTGAAGCCCTACTAAGTGACTCTTGATGTCATGTTAAGTTCTCCTTCGGTTCCACAAGTAAACAGGCAGCACGTTGGAATGAGACGACAGTAGTTCATCTGCAATCGACCCTTCAATTATTCTGTTACAATGTTTTATCTGGCGGTGAATAGTACCCGTGGGCCTTTACGTAGACGTTCGCTCTGCTTGTCAAGCAAAGATAAATTAATAGTTTGCCGTCAATATATGCATATGCATCTGTGTATACAGCGACTTCTGGGAAAATTTCTCATTGCCTGAAGACATTTTTAACGCTAAATTGACTTAAATTCCAAGGGTGTGAATAATATGCAGACCCTTTTCAACAATCAGAACATCACAGTGGTGAAACATAACACCAAAACTTACAGACTGATAAATATTTTATGGGGAAGGCTACATTCTCTTTTCCAGCAAAATAATTTCCTCAAACTAAGTGATATTAGTCGAATAATCCCAAGGCTTTGTGCAGGGGATTCTACAAAGTACCGGCTAAAATTATTGACTTCACCCCGGGATAGCCTTCCGACAACTACCCCCGACCCAAAATTTTCTTACGCGAGTTAAGGGTGCACTTCCAGCAATCTAACTTACAACTGCAGTAGATCTGTTTATCCCTATTTCCATGTTTTGAGTGCATTCGAAAATCAAAACAATTTCACAGCTCGTACCCTGCATGTGCAATACCTCCAAACTTGACATATCCATTATTAACTCCTTTTTCCATTTTTCATTGAATGTGGAAATTCTCGAAAAAAGGAAATAAATTCTGACAATTTATCCAGTAATTAGAATATATCCTAACATGCCAAATCCAATCTTCACCCCAATTTTCCACTTTCTCGGTCAACTCTAGAAACACGGGGTTAATTATGACAATTCATCCTACAAGTATATCATAACTTTTCCACATCCAATCTTTACCCCGATTTGTTCAATTAACTGTAGAAAACGGGAATCGGGACAATTCGAGTCGTTAACATCATGACTTGCCGTGTCCAATCTTTACCCCGATTTTCCATTTGTTCAACGAGTTCAAGAAAACCTGGATAAGTTCTTACAATTCTTCACGCAAGTGGAATATAACCTTAGTTGGCATATCAAATCTTTGCCCTAATATTCCATATTTTGTTTTCGTTTATTAGAGATAAGTAAGGTAAAATCTAACAATTAATCCCACATGTGGGATACATCATAGTTATAGTCAATCTTCACCCCGATTTTCCGTTTTTTGATTAAATAAACGGGGTAAAATCTGAGTATTCATCCTATAAGTGGAATACAACCTAACACGTCACATTCAATCTTTGTCCCATTTCTTTGCTTTTTTTCCAAGAATTCTGTTAAAAATGGGGTAAAATCGGACAATTCGTCCTGCAAATGAAACATATCCCAACTTGTTATGTGTAATGTTTACCCGATTTTTCATTATTTTCAGAGAATTCTAAAAAAAAAAACAATTCATGTCATAAAAAGACCGACGTGTCGAATGAATTATAACTCGGTACATCCCTGATTTTCCGTTTTTTCTAATAAATTCCGAAAAAACGGGGTTAATTCTGAAAACTCACCCCATGAATAGAATACATTCTAAGTTTCCATATCCAATCTTCTACCCGGTCTTCTATTTTTATTTTAATGAATTCCAGAAAAAAAGGGGCCAGACGGTAAGTTATGAGAATTTTTTTATACCGTATATAAGCGGAGTATATCCTAAGTTGCCATATCCAATCTTTACTCCAATTTTCGAATTCCTTTTTTTTAATGAATGAATTCCAGAAAAACAGGACAAACTCTGACAATTCATGCTACAAGGGGATAATACCCGAAGTTCCCAAATGCCATCTTTGCTTCGATTTTCCAATTTTTTTTTTAAAGTGAACTCTAGAGAACAGGGGTAAATTCTTAGAATAATCCTGCAAGTGGAATATAACCTACGTTGTCATGTCAAATCTTTCCTGATTTTCCTTTTTTTAATGAATTAATTCTAGAAAAACGGGGTAAACTCTGAGAATTCATGCTACAAGCGGATAATACCCGTAGTTCCTTTATGCCATCTTACTCTGATTTTGGATTTTTTTCAAGGAATTATAGAAAAACCGGGAAAATTCTAGTAACTCATCCTCCAAGTCGAATATATTCTATTGACTTGCCACTTCACCCTGATTTTCCATTTTTTTTTCAGTGAGTAGAAAAACGGGGCAAATTCTGAAAATTCATCCTTCAAGTGGAATTTATCTCACTGACTCGCCATATCCAATCTTTACCCGATTTTCCATTTCTTTTTTCAATAAATTCTAGAAAAACGAGTAAATTCTGAAGATTCACGCCACAAGTGGATAAGACCCTAAGTTCCCACATACCATCTTTACCCCGATTTTCCATTTCTTTTTTCAGCGGTGAATTCTACGATTAGCGCTAATCGTTAGCCCCTCAAAATAAAGCAATACACAAATAGCTTAATTGTAATTAGGAGTTTTTTATAACGCCGGCCCGCTTTCAGTTATTATTACTTAATTAACTTCCATAGAAAATCAAAAGCTAGACACAACAACGTGCTATATAATGTACTGTTCCTCTTTAATTGTAATCATTCCCTAAAGAAGTCTTAATTGGGGACGAAACGCGTCCGAAATAAATGAGAAGCATACAACTACAAAAGGTGTTTCTTTGTGCGGCTCGCTAGTCTTAGTTAAAATGGAGGAGAGAAAAAATTACACATTCAAAAAATGTTTGTGTTCTTAGTGAATTCCAGAAAAGCGGGATAAATTCTGAGAATTCGTCCTTCAAGGGATAGATCTTAGAGTGCCAAATCCAATCTTTAACCCGATTTTCCAATTTTTTTTTTAATGTACTCTAGAAAAACGGGATGAATTTTGAGAATTCGGCCCATAAGTGGATACTGAATGTATTAGGTTCTCGTGATATGCCATGTTCACCCCGATTTTCCATTTAATCAGTGAATTTTAGAAAAACAAGGTAAATTCTGAGCATTCATGCTACAAGTGGATAATACCCGAAGTTCCCATATGATATCTTTGCCCCGATTTTTCAGTTTGTTCAACAAATTCTAGAAAAACGGGTTAAAATGTAAGAATTCATCCTCCAAATGAAATAGATCCCAAGTTGCTACTCCAGTCTTCAACCCGATTTTCCATTTATTTTTAAATGAATTCTGGAGAAATGGGATTAATTCTGCGAATTCATCCGCAAGTAGCTAACACGCTAAGTTCCCCTACGCCATCTTTACCTCGATTTCCCCATTTGATCAGCGAATTCGAGAAAAACGGGCCGGGGTAAATTCTGAGCCTTCATGTTACAAGTGAGTAATACCCGAGGTTCCCATACGCCCAAATTTCAAATTTCTTTTTTACAGTGAATGTGACAAAAAACGGGGTAAAATCTAAGAGTTCATCCTCCGAATTAATACATCCCAAGTCGCCATAGCCAATCCTTAACCCGATTTTCCATTTTTTTTTTTCACTAAATTCTGGAAAAACGGGAAGAATTTTGAAAATTCGGCCCACAAGTGCCTAATACCCTAGGTTCCCATATGCCATCTTCACCCCGATTTTCCATTTAATTAATCAGTGAATTTTAGAAAAACGAGGTAAATTTTGAGCATTCCTGCTACAAGTGGATAATACCCGAAGTTCCCATATGATATCTTTACCCCGATTTTCCATTTTTCAACAAATTCCAGAAAAACGGGGAAAAATCTAAGAATCTATTTTCCAAATGAAATAGATCCCAAGTTGCTATATCCAGTCTTCAACCTGATTTTCCATTTTTTTTCTCAATGAATTCTGGAGAAACGGGATTAATTCTGCGAATTCATCCGCAAGTAGCTAACACGCTAAGTTCCCATATGCCATCTTCACCCCGATTTCCCATTTGATCAGCGAATTCGAGAAAAACGGGCCTTCGTGTTCCAAGTGAATAATACCCGAGGTTCCCATATGCTATCTTGACCCCGAATTTCTATGTTTTTTTTTTTTCAGTGAATCGGAATTTGACAAAAAACGGGGTAAAGTCTAAGAGTTTATCCTCCGAATTGAATTAGATTCCAAGTTGCCATAGCCAATCGTTAACCCGATTTTCCATTTTTTTTGTCCATGAATTCTAGAAAAACGGGATGAATTGTGAGAATTCGGCCCACAAGTGGCTAGCATCCTAGGTTCCCATGTGCCATCGTCACCCCAACTTTCCATCTGTTCAGTGAATTCTAGAAAAACGAGGTAAATTCTGAGCATTCATGCTACAACTACTAGTGGATAATACCCGAAGTTCCCATACGATTATCTTTATCTTTACCCCGATTTTCCATTTTTTTTTTCAACAAATTCTAGGAAAACGGGGTAAAATCTAAGAATCCATCCTCCCCGATGAAATAGATCCCAAGTTACTATATCCAGTCTTCAACCCGATTTTCCGTTTCTTTTTTCAATGAATTCTGGAGAAACGGGATTAATTCTGCGAATTCCTCCGCAAGTGGCTAACACGCTAAGTTCCCATCTGCCATCTTTACCCCGAGTTCCCATTTGATAAAGGAAAGTCGAGTAAAACGGGCCGGGGTAAATTCTGAGCCTTCATGTTTCAAGTGAATAATACCCGAAGTTCCCACATGCTATCTTTATCCCGAATTTCCAAATTTTTTTCAGTGAATTTGATAAAAAACGGGGTTAAATCTAAGGGTTCATCCTCTGAATTAAATAGATCCCAAGTTGCCATAGCCAGCCAATCTTTAACCCGATTTTCCATTTTTTTAATGAATTATAGGAATTCTATGAATTCATCCGCAAATGGCTAACAGGTCCTAACACGCTAAGTTTCCATATGCCATACGCTTTACCTGGTTTTTCCATTTGATCAGCGAATTCTAGAAAAACGGGGTGAAGTCTGTGAAATTCATCCTAAGGTGGAATATATCCTACTGACTTGCCATAGCCATCTTTACCCCGATTTTCGATTTGATCATTATGTGAATTTGTCGTAAACGGGGTAAATTAGGACAAATCAACCCAAAAGTGCAACAAATCCAACAATGATTTAGAAACCACTAAAAAAAGAGCAGCTTAAGCGGAACCGTAATGAAATTTAGAGACAGAACTTAAAAAAATACAGCTAAAATCAGCGGAACCATAATAAAATCACATCACAATCTACTATTTCAAGTTTTCACAATCTACTACTTCAAATTTTTGCTATACGGCAACAACCTATGATATTCGAAAAAACCAACTGAAGGCCAAACTTCTGTGATTGAAGGGAGACTTCGTGACGCAGACAAATTATCACAACTTTGACCTCTCAGTCGATCTCACCTCCGGCAGATCAGTAGTCTCCCTCGCAGCCGTTTTTTTTTTATGTCACGCAACGCTCATCCAAAAAAAAACGGCTGCGAGGGAGACTAGCAGATCAGCGAAGCGTCAAAAATATATAATTTTATGCCGACGAACCATAATCTATGATCTTAAACTATGAAAGAAAATAAAACAATTGTGATATGGGTAAAATGTTGTCATTGAAGTCGCAAGTCGAACAATGACGACTGTAAATAAAGCAAGACTGCAAATAAAGCGTGAACAATAACGCATCCGTCGGTCAAAAGTCGCTTTGTTATTTACGTAGCAAGTTGCTCTTCCACGTTTTGGACGTTCAGGTTAGAAGAACGATGCGATCACACGGCGTTAACGAAGGAGCGATAGAACTTCAAGGAAAGTAATGTAAGAGGTCGGCTCGCAATGATTGCGAACAGCATGTTTTCCTGAGATCAGTTGGAAGTTGCTCATACAAATTTTCTACTTATCCCGATCTCCTTGAATGAGTACTTTTGTTTGAAGACATAACTGCAACGGAGTTTCTTAATAACCAGTCCCAAGCAACGTGTTGCTCTATAGATCACAGGATATGATTGGCCATTATATCACATTACGTCAGAGGAGATATCTACAACAAGAGGACCTATTTGCAAACGGTACACAAGATAGCTGGTCTTGGAGTCCAGTACTACTCCACACGACGCCTTGTAAATCTTTACCGACGGATTGGACGGAAGCATGGCAGGAGTACGTGGAAAGAAATCGCAAAAGAAAAAGCGTGTTAACACGACAAGGCCCGGTATTGAAAGGAAGAGGAAAGAAAAGAAGGTGAAAGTGCTAAAGTAAGTTACATCATAGTCTTGCAGAATGTTGTAATTTGATTTTGGAATCAAACCTCTAAATTATTCTTTAAACATTACAATATTATTACGATGAGACACACGTTTGGGCCAGACAAATTTCATTTCATTGTAGAATAGTAAAATGCCCCCTGAGACGGGGGGGAGGGAAACAAAAACAAGGATACAACGAAGAGGCTAACGAAAGCGACAACTAGCACTGGCAAGATAACCACATGCAATGAACGAAACTTGATCGTGCTAGATTGTCGTTGCGTAATAACACTAACAATAATTTAATGCACCTAATAATTTAGTGCACCTAAACCCAAAATTTTTTTTCGCTTAACGAAGTAAGCTTATTTTCTGGAGTATTTCTGTGCAAAAATTTTTTAATTTGCTCAAATCTTTAATTTTCTATGCCCAGTCAAAATACGGAAAATCGGCCGCCATCTTGCCCCACGACCGAGTTTAAAGAAGAATGGCTCTAGCGGGTAATGTGACGTCAAATCGAGAACACGAAAGTCTGCATCTCACACATTTTCACTTGTTTGGGAAGATTGTCGTCGATATTGTCCGAAATATGCCGACTAGGTGTGTTGTATGAAGAATGTATGAAGCGCGATACCCTCTTGCAAATTTCGCACGTTGCTACATCCTTCTACAACACACTTAGTCGGCATATTTTCGGACAATTATCGACTACAACCTTCCCAAACAAGTGAAAATGTGTGAAATGCAGACTTTCGTGTTCTCGATTTGACGTCACATTACCCACTAGAGCCATTCCTCTTTAAACTCGGTCGTGGGGCAAGATGGCAGCCGATTTTCCGTATTTTGACTAGGCATAGAAAATTGAAGATTTGAGCAAATAAAAAAATTTTTGCGCAGAAATACTCATAAAAATAAGCTTACTTTGTTAAGCGAAAAAAATTTTTTGGGTGTAGGTGCACTTTAACCAATTTGATTTTAGAATCAAACCTCTAAATTATTCTCTAAACATTACAATATTATTACGATGAGACATACGTTTGGGCCAGAAAAAGTTCATTTAATTGTAGAATAGTAAAATCCCCAAATTAGTATTTTAAAAAAAGGCGCAAACGGGATGAAAAGAAAACACTAGTAATGAAAATTAGAAACGATAAAGAAAATAAAAAAAAAGAGGGTGATAACTTGACTACACTGTATTAAAGAGCAAGGCGGCCAACTCCAAGAGTTGGCATCCACGACGCGGGTGCGTGTGGCCACTGGCAAAGACAGGTAAAGTATATAAGCGTCTGAGCGCCAGTTCCCGTGCAGCTTGATGAGGTGGTCAGGAACCCCTGACTGATACACATGTGTGGCGCCACCTCGGCGGAAACTATGCGGGGAGAAATTCCTGGCATCTAAGCCAACGGCCGTGATGGTTTCTTGGAGAAAGCTGGAGAAAAGGGAGAATGTGACGGGCTGAAGCATGTGCCCCTGAGGTACGCAGAAAAACGGAGAGTTGGCATCAGCTGGCACCAATTGGAAATAATGATGAATGGCTGTAACTGGGCAAAGGTTGGAGTGTGGGATAAGCGGAATCAGTAGAATGCCTTCTCTATATTGCAACGTCTTGGACCAGCATATTCGGAGAACTGCACCATTGTAGGAGAACTTTGATGTCGTTGCAGGTGAGGTGTTTTGATGGGTTAAAAGCGCGAGCAGAGGGGGAACAGACACCTAAGAGCGGCCTGTGCTGGAATGGACAATTCCAATACCAGTCTCATGCGTCGTAGTAGATTAACAGTGATCGGGTGCTTTTGGCGGGACATTGTGCCCATGACACGCTCGAGACCTTTCTTGGTGAGGGCCACGGGGAAGCTACTCAAAGCATCGCATGCAAAACCGTGATGTAAATGGAGAAGGCGAATGGAGTTGAGGTGATTCAACATGTACTGGTACGAGGCAGTCTTGCACGACATGTACACAAGAAAGCATGAGACAGTCGAAGCTGAGGCGGGAAGGGGTGTAAGGCTGAAACTGGCAGAACTGAAGATACGTTTTCCACTGGGAACACAAGTTCTGAAGGGTACCAGGAGCATATGCGTGGGCTTGAATATCCTGGACATAGTCATGAAGCAAAGAGAGGGCTGATGAGTTAGCAAGGGCGTGGTCTGGATCTGGTGAGTGAGCAAAAGAGAATTGTAGTGTTAGATATGCACGTCGAAATTGAAGAGGTCGGCAGCACAGGGTACATGTTTTGTGGGGATGTCGACTGTCAGAGCGTCAAAATGAGCTGTGTGACCCGGGGATAGATGCCAACGACTGAGGGGGTCAGCCAGGGAGTTGGAGGTGCCTTGAATATGATGTGCGGCGAGCTAGAAGTCGAAGGCAGCTGACAAGAATCAAATCTTGCGAAGACACAGCTGCATAGCACAAGTACAAGAGCGGCCTGAGTTCAAAGACAGGACGCAGTTCTTGTTATCACAGCTAAGAATAAAGTGCTGACCGTGAAGAGTGGGAGCCCACAGCTTTAGCGCCACCATGACTGCCAACAGCTTGAGGATATCGATGTTCAATCAATCAATCAATCAATCATTTTATTTAGTAATGCAGGTTGGAAGGAAGGGGCAGCCATAAGGCTGATGTGGACCTACAGCGAACTAATAAAATGTAAAACTAAAATAATTCATAAAGTCACCCTATGGTATTTAAATATTCAATATGAATCATTGTAATAAAGTTCATTAGCAAACAAGTCACGAATTAATTCAAAAATTTACATGCAATGTAATAAAACTTAAAAATATACAAAATCTCTGTCTTTCATAGCAATCATAGGCGCTTCAAAAGAGAAGCTATTTATGTTCTGTGAGAGCTTACGTAAAATATTTTTAAAACTGTCTTTTTGAATGTTCGCATTAAAATTTACCAGCCTAGCAATAAAATTCCAGATCACAGGTCCTCTGTATTGTGCTGATTCCTTTCCCACTTTGTAGTTCACTCTAGGGATTTCAACCTGTAACCCTCCTGTACGTGATGGTCTGTTGCGTAACTTCAAATTAAAAGGGGCATATAAGATTTTATCATTTAAAACATCGTGCATCAGAAGAAGGAGTCTTCTTTTATATATGTAAGAAATTGGCAACCAATTTAACTCTTCAAGACTTTTATCCTGGTGGATAACTCGTGCAGCTCTTGCATGAATAGGGTTTAAGGATTTGTGACTGTACTGCTTCAGGATGTGCCTGGGAAAATGAGTGTGAAAATACTGTCCCTGAAAATAGCCGCCTGCTCCCAATGCGCAAGCATCTGTGGACAGGAAGAAAGGGTTGTTGCGCCAAGGAGTAGATTTGATGAGGGTCACACCATTGAATTGCGGGGGGAAGTGGCACCACCAGCACAAGTCCAATTTGTCGTCTGAAGATAACGGACAAAAGCATGCGGACGGGTTGGCGCATAAGGTATTTAGTAGGCCAGACATGAAAATGCGTGCGGGGTGGACACAGGCAGTAACGAAGGACATTACTCCAAGCGATGACTGAAGATCACGTTGTAGAAGAATGTCCTCGGTGCGCAGTGAGCAACAACAAGAGAGGAGTTCAAGCAAGCATTCCGAGGTCACGGACATGGTCATATCAATGGTGTTGAACTGGACTCCCAGGAAGGTCATGTAGGTGGAGGGGGCACAATCTTTTTTGGGTGAAGATTCCTAACTGAGAACAGAGAAAAGTTCTCCGAGGGTCTCAAAAGCCTTAGTTGCCTTGCTCAAGGACTCGGCGCCGCCGAAATCATCGATATAATTCGTGCAGTGATAGCCAAGCTTATGAAACATGTGCGGGACTGCCTACGTGGTCCACTGACACATCATCACGGCGGAATGCAGGCTGGAAAGGGGGGGCCACATCGAAATACATATAATCGTGGTGCTGTATGCCAAAGAGATGAAAGTCTCGGGGATCGATGTGCAGCTGACAGTAGGCATGGCTGAGATCTTTCTTGAAGAGAAGGCATCTGGGGCCTTTTTGGAGGATGATCTCGACGAGGGCGTCAATGCCGTGTAATGGAGGGCAAGGGGTTTGTTTAGGTAGGAGTCTTAAGGAATGCCATCATTGACCGAGAAGTCGGAGGGGAAGCTGATGTCGACAACCACCCGTGATTTTCCTGAACGACTGTGGGCAATTTGGAGAGGGGAAATTGTCAACTCCATACAAAGAGGGTTGGCTGAGAAAGGGCCGCAACTAGCACCTAAACCGCACTCCTTGTCCAGGTAAGATGGAATGAGACTGGGTTCTGCCAAAGCCGAGCCATGATTTTTGAAAGTAGATGTGGGAAGGGTGGCTGCCGTGTAACCGACTGGCCAACCAAAGTCTAAGAAGTTACAGAGGTCAGTGTCGTGGTAGTCGAACTCTCCATTCCTGCACTTGGAGACCAGAGGGTACTGGCAAGCAAAGTGAAGGCGTTCAGTCCCGGAGAGTGCTGGAGTTTAGTATGCAGAGAAAGCAGATGATGGGTAAGATTGGGCCCGATGGGGAGAACAGGCACTGAGGGATCGACGATCCCTTTGGAACGCGGAGAGGTGGTCGAGCAAGGCGAGACAGGAAGATGTGGTGGAAGCAGAGATGACAGACGATTGGCGTGGCATGGCGGACATGCTGAGGAAAAAGGGGGGAGTAACCGATGTGAGAGTTGATGAGGCGTGTAGTCAATCCTGTGGGCTGGGGTCTTGGCGCCGTGGTGGAACCGGATACTTATGTTTGGGACATGTTTTGGCTTGGTGATCGCGCTTGCACATGATGCAGACGGGATGGAGAGGGCACTCATGGCTTTTTCCGGCATCATACCAGGACCAGGCATCACAAATTTCACTGCAGGAAATGGAGTGGCTGGAAGCTGAGCTTGAAGGCTGTCTGGGGGAAGGGCGGCCGTGGGTTTTGTTGGGTGAATCCGTGAGGAGGGGGGTTGGCAAGAAAAAGGGCTGCTTGAGCAAGTTGAAGGAATCCCCCCAGGACACAAGGCCCATTTCAATACTTCTCAAGACTTTATAATGATAGGCGCGGACCGCTGACCATGTGTATGTTGACGCAAGGACCATGAGATAGTGAAAATGAGAGATGATCACTGCTCGGCAAGAAACATCAGGGCAATGCTGTATGATTACGGTGTAACCGGCGGAGAATTCAGCCGTAGACAATTCGTTTAATAATTTTGGCTCACCTGGGGCGAAGATATGCGGCCAATCCTGCGGGTTTGTGATCCTTTGAGGGGCGCGTTGATCACCAAGGGACCTCTCGCTTGACCTGTCGGCAGACTTCACAGTTTCGTCAGGTTTGGGGGCTTTTACCATGTTGGAGGCGATTGTGAGCTTGGCCAACTGCAATTCTAGCTGCAGCCGCTTTATTTTGAGATCTTGCGACTCCATGTGAAGTTAAAGTTTTAGCTGGTCTTTGCAACTGGACTGAGGTGTTGAAACGGCTGTAGCTGACAGTGGCAAAGGCACTGATGGCAGAACTGTTGTCGATTGTTCAGAGAGCTCCGCTTGAGCGAGTTTCTGCCTCCGTGGATGATCTGCTGAAAGTTGAAGCCCCGATGACGAGTCCATGGAAACAGCTGTCTGCATGTTGGCAACTTGGTTGGATGTTGGCGAGTCTTCACATTGGTCGGAGAGAAGCGGAGATAGCAAATCCCAGACGTAATCGTCGCTCAGATGGCGAGCGGAATGAGAATGCATGGATTTTCTTAACATTTGGAAAACGAGGAGTCAAAACAAAACAAAAACAAGGATACAATGAAGAGGCTAATGAAAGCGACAGCTAGCACTGGCGAGATAACCATGTGCAATGAACGAAACTTGATCATACTAGATTGTGGTTGCATAATAACACTAACAATAATTAACCAAAACAGTTTGCAAGGATCAAAATTGCTTGCACGGTTTCCATCGGAACCCACATGCATGCATACTGTTTGTGAATTAGAGTGCCTTTGAACATGAGGATGCTGGCACTAAATAAATTTAGAATACTTCATGGAAAGTCCTCCCGTATGGCTTTTACGCACGAAATGGTAGTATTTGCAATCGAACAGGTGACCACAGCGAATGAGTGAGATTTCTGATGCAAAGCAATGAGTGCATAAATGCCAATGCTTTATTAAAGGAGACTTTCCATGGTATACTGTGTTCATTATATACATACAGAGATCCAGTTCTTGTCTAATAACAATTTATTGTTAAACAAATTCAAGTGAAAGGTTTTCAAATTGATCAAAAAAAAATGTAAACCATGTAAATTGCTTAGTAATCTTCATGATCTTAATGTCCACAAAGCAAATTAGCTCTGCAAATATACATGTATATTTCATTCCTTGGGTGCTATAGTGTGTACTTGTTCATTCTTTTGGTCTCTCAAAAATTCTTTGAACAGTTTGAAATCTTACTTTGTTTTTTCCTATATAAGGAAATTACTATCCACTATGACCACTGAGACTTTAGTCCACAGCTTTGTAACCTCCAAGTTGGATCACTGCAACTCTCTTCTCTATGGTGTTCCGAAATATGTTATTAGAAAGCTCCAATCAGTGCAGAACGCCGCAGCTCGACTTATTACAACCTCCTGTAAATTTGACTGCATAACCCCTATTTTATTCAACCTGCACTGGCTTCCAGTTTCTGAGCGAATTAAATTCAAAATAATTCTGCTCATCCACAAAGCTCTTCACCAGCAGTCTCCTATCTATATTCAAGACCTGAAACGTCGTTATTCACCTTCAAGAACACTCTGGTCATCTTCAACATTACGCCTGTCTCTTGTCAACTTTAATCTCAAGTCTCACGGCTATAGATCTTTTGCTATTTCGGCTCCTGAACTGTGGAACTAACTACCTGATGGCATTCGTTCTTGTGACAATTTAAATCTCTTTAAACATAAACTTAAGACTTGTCTTTTTAAAAATTATTTTAACATGTATAAATTCTCTTCTTATCCAGGTCTAGCGCCTAGATCTTAGACACCCGTTTTTTGTGTATTTAAATCTCTGTTAATGTAAACTTAAGACTTACTTTTTGAAATTAATTCAACATGTATATTTCTATTTTGTGAAGCGCTTAGATCAGGTCTGGATAAGCACTATAGAAGTAGTTCTATTGTTATTATTATTATTATTTTTGTTCTTTATACCTCCCACATAATTCTCTACAGAAGTTTAGTAAGCAACTGATCTTTTTTCATGTGGGATAAATGTGATACACGCCATTTTCTTGGCTCTCGGCTTCTTTGACCAGCTTGTGAATGAAAATTTATTTCATGCCCTTCCAGTGTGTAAATCTGATTATGAATATATCTAAACAATACTACATGAGTGTACGTAGATATGGAATTTCTCTTTGAGAGTTCCACTGGATGGCTCATGAGTCAGAGCAGTGAACAAGTGCGATATCAGGTTAAGTGCAAGATGAGAAATTCCATATCTACAAGCAACCATGTATTTTTTTGTTTATTATGTAAACATAGTAAGCCTTAATTGACAAGAAAAAGTTGACTTTCTTTATAAATGAAAAAAAAGAAGATCCACAATCAATGAGAATAAGTATTAAAGAGTGTGGTCAATAAAATTCAAGATGGAAAATGCCCTGAATCATTACAAAGACAAATGATGGGCGAAACTTTCAACTCACAAAATTTATTTTTTATTTTATTTATTTATAAGCTTCGCCAAAAACAATTTGGCAGGAGAGATCTCACAGAGCTAACGTTCCATTAACGAGACTCCTATGTTCAGTTATCGACTTTTTCCCTACTGATGGAAGAAATCTACTCAGATACATGGCTAAAATCATCCGGTGTCAAATCTTTTAGTTGTTGAGGTTCTTTCTCAGCAGGGAGAAATACCAGTACCAAAGCTGAGTATCTTTTTGTGTAATATTCTCATATTTTGGATTCCTTCCTATTTTAGGAAATTTTCAGCTTCACTGTCTTTAGGCAATGCAAATTATTTGGTGTTTTTAGCAGATGAACCTCCTCAGAAAGAGAATTGTGAAGGCTTTGCCATTCATTCATCAACCTGGCAGAGTTGCAGGAAAGATGAATGACACGTCAGTAGCTGATTGACAAATTTCAAACCCATGAAAAATTTTTCATAAGTTTACGTGGGTGCTTTTACAGCTTTTCTTGGGACTGGAAATCCTTGTAAAGCATTTTAATTAATAAATATCTTAACCTTTTATCGTTATCATCATATTTGGTATGGAAGCCCTGCACTTGAAAGCACTACAGATTCTCAACTGTAATAATTTGAGCTGAGGTACTAGTATTCATACTGTCTGTGAACTACAGATGTACACTGTTATCTGTGCAGAAGTTCTCAGCCAGCTAGTATCATTCCCTGACTAAATATTTTTAAGATTGACACTCTCCAGATAAGTAGCCTCTTTGATTGTTCATCAAGCTTGATCCTTTGCTTCTTTGAATTTTTCATTATTAATTGAAGTTGATTCTTATTTTGTATTATTTCATATATGTTATTGAACAGGAATGGTATATTTGTGCAGCTGTAACCTTTTTTCAATTATCTTTTCTACAGCCAAACTTTGCGCAAGAGCTGGGACCAAGAGAAAACATTGAAGCAGAATCTTCAGATTCTTGGTTTGGCTTTTGATGCTAATTCAGCTATTCCTATCCCAAAGTCAAAAACTAAGGTCTGTGAATACCATCGTAAGCTTATTTAAAATTTGCTACATGAATACAAATTATGTTTCTAAAACTTATTAGAGCTATTTACACTGTATCTGTTTTGTTGGGAATGATATTTATGTATCTACATAGTGAATGATGCATGTGTAGTATCCATGGTACTCAAGGTAAATTGTTTATCTACATGTAGGTAGAGAGATTTTTCAAATTATGTTGACATCTAGTTCCAAAGATTTATCAGTATTGAACAATGTATAGAAGTGTTGGACTATGACTTACAAAAGGACAAAAATAGATCTACAATGTCATGGTGGTGCTTCTATAGCTACCTACAGAACATAAGCATGCTACACATGCAAGACTTGTCACCTTAGGTACTGAGCACATGGTCTACAGATTATTCATATCCCAGCTCTAAAAAAAGTGACTGTCTTTCAAGGAGATGTAATAGTCTTTGTCAAATTTGTACAGACCATTTCAGGACATTACAGCATGTATTTTATAAAATAACCCAAAAACATAAAACTAATTGCATTTGCTTTGTAAAGGAAAATTTACTTGAGATTTGTGATGCTAATTTCCTCCAAATCGTGAAACTTGTGTAATGATAGGACTGGTTTGACCATAATTCTGCCAGGAAATTACCCAGCTTAAAATGGAGCAGTGGAACATTACCATTTAACTCATGCATATATTTAATTAGGGTTATAAAGATGAAAAAGTGGAAGCCATGGAGGTAGACAAAAAGGAACCAACAACAGTTATGAGAGGTAAAGTTGTGCTCCTGCATGACTTCATGAATATATCAAAATTTTATGTGTGAATTGGAGTTGGGTTTGAGGTATTATTTTGATATTTTACAATATGAAAATTGATATCCTTGCATTTGTTGAAGAGAAAAAAAAATCCATGTAAAATTCACATTACATGTACTCAAATCTTTGCATGACAGGGGGAGCACTTAAGGTCACTTCCTGTGAACTATATAGGCTGCCCTATTAAATCAGGAATATGAGAAAGTGAGAATGAGCAAAATGCTTGTAGTGGGAGAAAGTGTTAGTGGAAAAGTTATAAACATTTCCAGTTTCAAATCTGGAGTCCACAGCTTGCACAAAGCAGAAAAACTTATCAGTACATACCTACATACCTACACACACACACACACACACACACACACACACACACAGACAGAGACAGAGACAGAGACAGAGACAGAGACACAGACACAGAGACACAGAGACACAGAGACACAGAGACACAGAGACACAGAGACACAGAGACACAGAGAGACAGAGAGACAGAGAGACAGAGAGACAGAGAGGCAGAGAGGCAGAGAGGCACAGAGGCACAGAGGCACAGAGGCACAGAGGCACAGAGACACAGAGAGACAGAGAGACAGAGAGACAGAGAGAGACAGAGAGAGACAGAGAGAGACAGAGAGACAGAGAGACAGAGAGACAGAGAGACACACAGAGACACACAGAGACAGACACACACACAGACACACACACAGACACACACACAGACACACACACAGACACACACAGAGACACAGACACACACACAGAGAGACACAGACAC